TTTAATTGGTGGATATAAATATTGATCATTTTAATTAACCTAGTCCTCCTGCCCTCTGCTTTCTTGCCATTCCCTGATTCCCTGTCCCATCACCCCAAAAATTATTTTACATTATTTCATATTTTTCCTCTCTCCACTCTCTGTTACCTCTCTCTCTCTCTCTCTCTCTCTCTCTCTCTCTCTCTCTGTTTCTCTATCTCTATCTCTGTCTGAGACAGGGCCTCACTACATAGTTTTGTTTAGGACATGGACTCATGATGATGGCCACTGGACATGATCCTCCTAACCCTAAGTCCTGAGTGCTTAGATTAGTCTGATGTCACCATGCCCATGTCTAGTGTATCTTACTTTTTTTGATGGGGAGAGGATTTGACACAGTGTGTTGCTATATTGTCCAGGGCCACCTCAAACCACAGTTATCATCCTGCCTCAGTTTCCCATGTGCTGTGATTACAGAAATGCACCAATCTGCCTTGCTTTTTTTTTTTTTGCTTTGCTCTTCACATTATTTTCATGTTGTTTTTCATATAAGAGAAGTCATGCAGTCAAATATATTTGTTCAAGTCAGCAGATTCTCAGCTTTGTGAGGAGATTTCAGAGCCAGAGGGTCACTAAGTTGGGACACGAGAGAGCTAGCAATCAGTTAGAACTCAGATATATGGTATTTAAAAAGAGAAGTAACTGAAGTACTTCATGGGCACAGAATAAATGGTTGCTCAGTGTGGAGACTTTTCCCTTGCTCAGGCTGATAAGAGAGAAACCTCCCCATATTACAAGTGTCAACTCAGCTACAGAGATAGAGCCTGAGGAGAAGGAGAACTGAGTTGAGCCTAGCAAGTAGGAAGGTAGTGGTGCTTCCCAGTATTTCCCTGTGCAGTGGCACAGGCTAGGGCCTGGTGCCATCTTGGGACCCCTCTCTCATTCTGTCAAATAAGAACCAGCAGGAGAAGAAATTGGACAACACTCATGCTGAGAGGTATCTGGAATAACTTTTCTATTTTGGTAGGTGAAGGAGGAGAGCAGACACCTGCACACTTTCTGGTCTTCAAGATGCAACAGGAAGTTCTCACTAGATAGACAGTGAGACCCTCTTAATAGTTAGGTTGGAGCCCAAAGAAGGGCAGCCGGGACACAAAAGAGTGAAATCAAGGACTGAGGAAAATGGCCTCCTGCCTGGCTGACTGGAGAGCAGACACCAGGGTGGGAAATTCTCCATGGACTGAGACAGACAGCATGAGCCCAGCTGGTGGTGAGCACATACAGCCTAGTGAAGGGAAACAGCAGAACACAATAGGCCAGGATATAGAAAACAAGGTGCTCTGAGCACTGCTGCAGGGCAGAGCTCAGGCACAGGAGGATTTGTGGGAGGTGGGATCTGAGGCTGGGTGCAGGGCTGCAGGGAGGTGAGGAAGAGAAGGGGTGTGCAGCTCCTTATCTCAGTGAACACCCTGATGTCCCAGCCCTCTGCTCTTCTTGGAGGCTGACAGAGTAACCAGGGCAGTGCATAGACACTGGGCTTCCATCCACCTGGGACCCAGGCTTGGGAACTGAGGCATATGGTCCATGGATGGACATGGGCAAATATTGTGCAGACACTGAGTTTCCCCCTCACCCTGGCTCCCAAGAGCAGAGGGGTGAGGGCAGCTGTGGTCCAGGCCCCCAAGGGCAAACCTGGAAGAGCACAGAGGTCATCACAGAGGGAGGAGCTCAGCTCCAGACTGCAGGAAATGGCCTCTCCCACCTGGACAGAGGCTGAGAGGAGACACGGGGGAAGACAAGGGGATTTCCTTGTTGCTCCTTCCTTTAGGCCTTGTCCCACAGTGGAATACTACAGGAAATACTGGTCTCCAGTCCAGATGCCCCCACAAGGATGCAGAATCACTGTGTGTGATTATGGAAGCAGTATGCTATTGTGTGTGCGCAACTACATAGTCTTAGCTTGTTTTGTTAGGTTCTCTCCTGCCAGGCTTGTTTCCCAGGCTTTCTAACGTTCTAGCACACAGGTATCTGCTAATTCTTTACTTGGTTCCACTCTCCCCTGCTTCTCTCCCTTTTCATTAATATTCCCCTCCTTTCTGTTCTTCATTCTTCCTCCTCCCATAACTCTTGAGTATCCCCTCCTTCCCTCTCTCTCTCTCTCTATATATATATAGAGAGAGAGTCATTAAGAACTTTCCCCCCTAACCCAACCACCTAATTCTTCCTTCCTTCCTTCTGATCCTAAATTAGAAAATATGTTGGAAAATTGCTCAAAGAAATTCTTAATTATATGTTGACAAATGATTTGTTCTTTGTATATTGACATTAGTGATGATTATTCTGTCTTCACAAAGCAGTGCTAAGAATTCAACCTCATAGAAAAGTTCAGCAACAAGACACTAACCCTCACCCTCAATTACCCCTTCATAAAGTCCTTGAGCTTTAATATTATGTTTTAATTTCTTGTTATTCTTTTCAAGACAACATCTTACATGACTATATATAGCAAAGCAGATATTTTCCCACAACTCCTTACTAATTTTATGGGAGTATCCAGGTTGGTTGTGTCCTTCTGCTTAGTTTTCTTTTATAAAATAAAAATTCAGGTACACTAAATGATAAATTATGTTACATGAATGAAACCTGTAGATGAAGCAAGCCAGACAGAAAAACCAGAATGTAGGTTCTGCTGCATTCCTGTGGTGCCTGAGGATGCCTATTGATCCTCTCAGTTCTGTTAGTGGAGACTGGAGTCCTGTCCACTGCATGAGACATGAGGGGGCTCATTAGTAATAAGCTAACATGACCAGTCCTGGCAGAATATATTCAGTCATAAAACTAGGACAAAATACTCAATGCATTGTAGTGTAATAATTATGCAAACTTAAAAGTACACATCCAAATCAGTTTTATCTCAGAAATAGGAAAATACTGAAGGAAACTACTATTATGAAAACAAAATATAACAAGTCTTGAATTGGTTTATTTTCTTCTTTGAATTTTAATATTTTTTATTTTTTTCAAATGAATAAGCATTATGTTTATGGTCATGTCATTCATGAGTATAAATTATTTCCAAGTGAAAAATTTTATTGTTCCATCCTTCATAGTGTCAACTGTAAAGAAAGTATTACTCAAGAAATTTCTTCACTATCTTCCTAGCCAAATAACTCCTGATCAATCACTCAACTGTAAACATTATTCCTGATAAGTTTATATAATTCTGTGTCAAATTAAAGAGTAAGTAAATGAAGTTCAGCAGAAACTTAGAGCATCACATGATGAGGTGAAGTTCTTATGTCTAAATGTGAGACTTCTAAGGGAAAAGACAAAAATCTTGTCCTCATTAAATACTTGAAATTTTCTCCTTGGAATTGGGCCAGGAAATCTTCCCTGGAAATTGCTCCCCAAGGATGTCCAAAGGCTGTAATGTTCTGAATGCACAATATATGAGGCCGACTAGGAGGAGAGGCACACACTCATCTGTTTCCATTCACAAGTCTCCCTCAGACTCTTTTCAGAGGAAACTTTGGGGTTAGCTTTCCATCTGATCAAGACTTGAAAAAAATTTCTAGTGTGATACACTTTACTTCAGAATAAAAAGATGGAAGCAAGAAAACATACTGATAAATTACCACTAGAAAAGCAAACAAATTACAGAAGCTTTAAGTTCACTATATGGTTTCCTACTTTATTTCTGAGAATATTTTTTGCATGACAAATTTCTAAACAGACAACATTGGAAGACAATTTTTTCAGCCACTTTAGTGCACAGTAAGTATCATTCTGAGAACAGAAGGGGATTATATTGATAAAATAAAGGGGATTTTATGAAAAACAATGTACACACATATCATTTGTAATCACACTTATCATAAGTAATGTTAAGATTTGAAGAAAAGAGAATATAGAGTTCTTGAAATCAATGTATTCAAGCAATGTACATATTCTAAAATATAATTTTTTTAGGAAAATCGATTTTGACTGGCAAGTTAAAAAGAATATTGTTACCAGAGAAGATGGTCAATTCCACCTCTGGCTGCCTCAACAAATTTAGGGAAAACTCATTTTGGTGGAAAGAGGAGAGATTGTTTATTCCACAGGAGAGATAGGGCCCTCTGCTCCCCACAAATCTCTGTCTCCCTGTGTTAATTTCTGCCAGGGCTTTAATCTCCAGGTGACTGCAAGCTCTCTGCCTCCCTTTTCCAAGTTAAAGCAGACCTTGACCTCCTGGGGTGGGATCTGAATGTTCTTCTCAGGCAGGCAGTCCTGATCTTTCTGAGACTGAGCATTCATTCTCTGTGCAGTCATTTGAGTGGGGACAGGGACAGGATTCCTGCTCTCGGCCAGGGGAAGCTGGAAAAGCAGCTTATTTTTAAAAATCCAAAAGTTATAAAGATTGATTTTTCTGTCCCTGTGACTATATCTTCAGGAATTTAATATTATTGTGATTCACTTAATTCCCCAGACAGAAATTACTTTAATTAATATAATAAGTCATTGGGAAAAAGAGGACAATGAATAAGACACTAAAAATAGTTTTTAGCATGGTCTATTATATATCTGCCTTCAGGATTGGTAAAAGAAATCCTGATCAGAAACACAGTATTGTAAATCTGTTATAAGAAGAAAAATATCTAGGTAGACTCGGTGCCAATATGTAACTGTTCTTTTTTACATAGATAATCTGTGTGTCCTTTTTTCCAAAGATAAGGATGTAAGAGTCATTATGATATAACATTTCCTGAGAATTGCATGCGTTAATAACTGAAAGAGAATACAATAGCATCGGGTTCATGTTAGAAACAGGATGTAACTCTTTAATGTATCAGAAAGAAATGGCATTTTACATCCATATGTATACATGGTGATTTTATTTTATCACTCTTCTTCAAAATAGTTTTCATTAATTTCTTGGAAGGCTATGAGAAATACTGAGAAATTCACATAAATGAAAATATTTTTGGAGACAAGGAAATTATTAAAATTTATTATTCAACAGAAAAGTGCAGCAGGACACCATGGGTAGATGGAACTCCACCAGTGTGCCTGACTTCATCCTCATGGGGCTGACAGACTCTGTAGAGACACAGCTGGTCCTCTCTGTGCTCTTTCTCCTGATTTACCTGATCACGGTCCTGGGGAATGTGGGGATGATACTGATCATTCGCCTGGATCCCCAGCTTCACACCCCCATGTACTTTTTTCTCACTCAACTGTCATTTCTTGACCTCAGCTACTCAAGTGTCATCACCCCTAAAACCTTACAGACATTACTGACTTCCACCAAGAGCATCTCCTTCCTGGGATGCTTCACACAGATGTTCTTTTTTGGTTTCTTCCTTTCTTCTGAATGTTTCCTTCTCTCCTCCATGGCCTATGATCGCTATGTAGCTATCTGTAGCCCCCTGCACTATCCAGTCATTATGTCCCCAAGACTATGCCATGCCCTGCTCTCTGGATCCTATGTAATGGCCTTTGTGTATTGCACTCCAGTTACGGTTTCAGTGAGCCAACTGCACTTCTGCAACTCTAATGTCATCCAACACTACTTCTGTGACACAACCCCAGTTTTATCGCTGTCCTGCAGTGACACTTCTGAGGTTGAAATCATTATATTCATTTGTGCTGGATTCAATTTATTGCTGTCCCTCATCACTATATCTGCATCCTATCTGTCCATCCTCTCAACTATCATGAAAATTGATTCCATTGCTGGAAAGAAAAAAGCCTTCTCCACTTGTGCTTCTCATCTGCTGGGAGTCATTATCTTCTATGGCACTATGATCTTTACTTACCTAAAACCGACCACATCCTACTCCTTGGGAAGGGATCAGGTGGCTTCTGTGTTTTACACAATTGTCATCCCCATGCTGAACCCTCTCATTTATAGTCTCAGAAACAAAGAGGTGAAGAATGCTGCCCTGAGAGTCCTGAAGAAAAGAGTGGGTTGTAGACAATTAAAATCACAAGGATGCTAGGCATTTATACTTTTCCCCTTGTCTTTTTTTCTTCTCAGATATTCATTGTTTGCACTTAAAAAAATTAAATCATTTTTCCCCTTTCCAGTTGCTCTTTACTTAGCTAACATGATCTTGGATATTTTGAGAGACAGATACTTACAAATTCATATCATAATTTGGAGTCATCAATTAATTGTTAAATCTGAGGTGTAAAAAAATCTGCCCTATTAAAAATTTTTATGCAAAATTGAAAATTTTTGTAATTTTATAAACTACATAAATATATTTTTGCAAACCTCAATTTTAAAATAATTTTACAATGAAAAAGTGATTCATTTTTCATATGTCATTCTATTTATAGTAATTCTCAGCATCAAACTTTGGGACAGTTGCTTTCAAGTGAAGTTTATTGCATTTAGGGCTCAGTATTTAGCTCTGTGGTGCTTCAACCTGCCTTGCAAGGGGAAGATCCTGAGTTGGATCCCTCATCCAAAAAAATACAAAAACAAACTTAGTGCATTTAAATTCTAGTTCTGGTGCTTCTCTAGCATTTCACAAACACTAATTCCCTGAAATCATAAGATTCAGTATGCCCTCCTGCATAATATACAATAATTCCAAGTCTCTCTCATCAGAGGATGGACATAAAACTTTTAGGACAATAAAATAAGTGCCATCCATTATCACAAGAAGGATTGGAATCCTGTAACATTTTGACATAATAAACACTACATATTTCTGAATAATGTTCCTTTGTTTTACAAATC